TGTATTTATTTGCACAATCTGACAACAGCTGGTGTCAAACATACATATCTACTCTACTACCTTCTACCTGCATAAAAAGGCAGAAACGAATTCTAGGAACGAGAAATCCATCCGTATGAAATAGAGCACCAATATACGAGAGAGTATTGCCATCTCTGTGCCGCTCTCTGATTGGTTCATCAGTTTTAGGCTATCATGGAGCTCCAAAGTTGGCCCAATGTAAACGAACCTGACCCAGAGGAACACGTATCATCGGCTGAGAAATGAATGATAACCACATTCAACGGCTCATTTTCGCAAAAATGTCCATCGAAGTTAGATCCGAACTCAATTCAGAAGTGGTTTTAAAAAGACATCTATCACATCCAAAATCACGACTCGAACTTGGTAGATCTTTGTGGTCATCTTGTTTGTTTACATTGGACCAAACCAGGAGCGGAGGGGCTGGGGTTTGTTTATATTGGGCCAACTTTGGGGTTCCATGATAGCCGACCAATCAGAGAGCGGCACACTTTTTCTGTAGTAAAAGGATTGAGATACTTAATACTCTCCCGTATACAGATACTCTAGTGCCTATTTAATACTGCTCCAATCACAGATCTACTCCCCTACAATCAACAAAAATACAAACCCACTTACATGCGACGATCCCAATATTACTACTGAAATTCTGAAACTCATCACCTCTCTTAATTTAAAAATCTAAATTTTCGTATATTCTCCCATTTTCAAAATTCTCTGTAAAGTCGTTAATAGCCTGTGACGCTGAATGTCTTAAAATATACTAACTAACTAACTATACCTAACGGTGATGGAAGAGTACCATTTATTTACCTCTTCATTAGGGATGCGCAGTGAGATATTTCGGGATAAACTCTGGGCTCCGATTGCTCCAAGGTTTGAGTAGGTCAGGAACCCAAACTGGATGAGGTAGGCCCAATAGGAAGTTTCTCCTGCACCAGTGCCCGTTTCGGGATGCCCCAAGACTCTGGGTACCTTTTTGATAACGTGCTCACCGTTGATCAGCCTTTGAATGGTGAGAATCGGATAGAGTCCGTGCGCAAGTATGAATTTTTCTAGACTAGCTTGGGTCTGGGGATCTGCTGCCTTCCATGGTCGAGATTTCTCATCGAATAGGTAATTTGAGACGCTGAAAGGGTTGTACACTGTAGAGTTTCCAAACTTGTACCCTCCATACATCTTCTGCACCCTGTCCAAGGCATCTGGTCCATGTTTACCACGTGAAACCAGCTCATTGACCTGTACAGTGATCAAGTTTCAATGCTCCCATTCCATGACCGTCAAAAATTCCGGAATCCGGAACTTTTTTGTTTTAATTCCTCCCATTCCATGACCGTCAAAATTTCCGGAATTCGGAACTTTTTTGTCTCAATTCATCCCATTCCATGACCGTCAAAATTTCCGGGATTCTTTTTAAATGAAATGAAAATATCCGAGAAAGTTCCGAAAAATACAAAAGATCCGGAACCTTTCGGGATTTTCAAAAGTTCCGGGAAAAATTCAGGAAAATCTCAAAAGTTCCGAAATTCGGAACTAACTCCGGGGAATGGGAGCACTACCAATTTTATCTGAGAGGAGCCGATTAAATGGGATCAATTGAGTTAGGAGCATTTTAAGCTCAGATCCTTGCATATTTTCTCTTCTCCAAAATTCAGAGTTAAGAGTAAGAATACACTACTGCCGTGCTAAGGAAAGATACCGTATGAGCCTTCAGATTGTAATGTTCTGGTGCTGGGCCAGTGTACGTAGGTGTACCGTGGTGGTACCGAATATGGGTATGATGAATGAACGAAAAGACAACTACAGGTATCGTGGGTACAAACTATGTATAAGTCGATAGGCGTACAGTGAGGTGACAACAAATCTAACTGCTATGTGACTATGTCAGGGGGTCGCGATCCCGGCGCGGCGTGGTGGCCCTAGCGATGCCAAAATCAGAGTGTGGGTTTACTGTCTCCTGGTTGCTGTTCAAGGGGATGATCATGATGAAGGGAAAG